AATGAGGTGGTTATTGCTTATTTTATCTCCGTTCTGCTTCTCCTCCCTAAAAGTAGTTTTAAAAAGCTAGCTGAGAACCTAGCAGGAGTTGGGCTCCATTTGTGAAATGTCTCTGTCAAGAATAAAGTCATTTTCATTAGCAAAACATCACCAGGAGCAAATGGTTTGACTGCACTTAAATAAATAATATTCCTTTCACAATCCAGCATTGTGTGATGCTAGACTGTCTTGAGATAAGGAGAAATTGAATTGGATTTCTGTCATTTTTATTGCTCACATGACAAGTGTAAATGTTCAGCTTCTCATCTCCACAGCTGGTTAGCTTGCACAGATCCAAGGGACGTGGCCAGAATTGAAAGCAAAACTGTAATTGTGACTCCAGAGCAACGAGACACCATCCCGATCCCCAAAAGTGGAGTGAGCCAGCTGGGACGATGGATGTCGGAGGAAGACTTTGAGAAAGCCTTCAGGGTCAGATTCCCTGGGTGCATGGAAGGTAGAGACCCCAAAAAGAATTTTATAGTTAGAATTAAAATACAGCAGCTCCAATCCATGGTGAGATAGAAGAACAATGCTTCAAAGATGTTCACAGAACATTTTTTTCCATTTGTTCCATGGCTAAGCAATCCTTGTAAGCCCAACAAAAAGAGCAAATTCTGTTAATAATAAAGTGAGTGTGAACACCACAGCCAATGATGCCTTTATTATAATTATTTTTACCTCTGAAAAACCAGTAGAATGATGATTTACCTATAGTTAATAATAATAATAATAATAATAATAATAATAATAATAATAATAATAAAGTTGGAAGGGACCTTGGTGGTCATCTAGTCCAACCCCCTGCTCAGGCAGGAAACCCTATACCATTTTGGACAAATGGCTGTCCAATCTCTTCTTAAAAACTTCCAGTGTTGGAGCATTCACCGCTTCTGGAGGCAGGTTGTTCCACTGGTTAATTGTTCTAACTGTCAGGAAGTTTCTCCTTAGTTCTAGGTTGCTTCTCTCCTTGATTAGTTTCCACCCGTTGCTCCTTGTCCTGCCTTCAGGTGCCTTGGAAAATAGCTTGACTCCCTCTTCTTTGTGGCAGCCCCTGAGATATTGGAACACTGCTATCATGTCCCCCCTCGTCTTTCTCTTCATTCCAGCAACCATTCCAGCAACCATTCCTTATATGCTTTAGCCTCCAGTCCCCTGATCATCTTTGTTGCTCTTCTCTGTACTCTTTCTAGTTACGTTTGGGTCGGCTTGTAATGCCAGTTATTTAATACTAGCTCTCTTTAGGTTTGCTAGACTGTTCAAGTAACATCTGGATTTGGATGGACAGCAGTATATAACTCTTGAACTACTGTTTTGGAATCCAGCTATCTACTTCTTCAAATGTATTTCGTGAAGGATTAGAATGGCCCAGACTGATCATCGACAAAAAAAAGTTGCTGTTGTTCAGCTACTCTGTTTCCTTCCCTGAGAGCTGCCCTCCCCCTTATTTTTTTCAAACATCTTCCCTTGGAGATGTTCCAGAACTTCTGCAAAATTTAAAGGTTTCCCAATATAATTGATATGTCCTCTTTGATGATCAAGTTGTCATATCTGCCCTTTGAACCTCCTTAGTGAGACCACAATTTCCACAAAGACAGAATGAGTCTGCAGTCTACACATATCCTCTAAACTTAAACTTGGAACAGCTTAATGACACATTGCTGGAGTTTGGCATAAATTTGCAGTAAAACATGGGGCTAAAGAGTAGTAATCAATAAATCCAACTCCCATTAACTGGCAGAATGTTTGCTTAATTCGTCTGAATTTGGAATCTGGCCCTTACATGCTGATTTTGCCAGATGTTAACCTAGTATTAAAATGATTTGTACCCGAGTTCTGTAAACAAAACAAAACATTTACCCATAAATGCGCATTTTATTGGAGAAAGAGGAAAAGAGTATCGAATAGGGAGCAGCCTTTGTTAACCTGGTTCCCCCGGATGTTTTGAACGCATGCTCAAAATGATGGGAGTCTAGTCCAACTGCAGGCTGTCTGAATGGGGAGAATGACAGAGCTGGAAGGGACATTGAAGGTTTTCTAGTCTAACCATCTCCTCAAGCAGAAGACGCTATACCATTTTGGACAAATGGCTGTCCAATCCTTTCTTAAGACTACTATATAACTTAGTAGAGATTTATAATTTTGTTTAGGATTCTATCCTCTCATTCTCTTTTGCAGGTCGCACCATGTATGTCATTCCATTCAGCATGGGACCGATTGGTTCTCCTTTATCCAAGTTTGCGATTGAGCTGACTGATTCTCCTTATGTGGTGGCCAGTATGAAAATTATGACTCGTATGGGAACATCTGTCCTAGAGGCTCTGGGTGATGGAGAATTTGTAAAATGCCTCCATTCGGTTGGGTGCCCTTTACCATTAAAAAGTAAGCCATTCTTAAGCTAAAATGTACTTTGTTCATTCTCTCTTTCCCAAACGATAATTGTCATCGTTAATTTATTTACCAAGCAGAATATTTAGAGTGCTATAGTTATGGAGTTGCCAAGTATCTCTTTGAATAAGAGATGCTAAGTTGGGACTGGTTGGTCATTAAATGCAACAAACCAGAAATTATTCATCAAAGAAAGAACCAACAAAGCATTCCTAAATATTTTGGGGTTCTTCCAAATGACTCAATTGTAGCTTGGATGAGAAAATTAAGTGCGATCTGGTCCACTGTTTCCCATCACTTCCTTTTCTCAAAGCACCCAAGAAGAATTAGCCTTTTTCAAAGAACGTGGTCTACTGCGAGCCACTGTATCACTGCTAGATGAGCAAATAATTCTGCCCTGTATTATGACTCAATTTTTATTTACCAGACAGAAGAGAAAGGAATACAAGTGGTCCTTGACTTACGACCACAATTGAGCCCAAAATTTCTGTTGCTAAGTGAAACATTTGTTAAGTAAATTACTTAACATTTTACAACCTTTATTGCTACATTTGTTAAGTGAATTACTGCAGTTGTTAAGTTAGTAACATGGCAGTTAAATGACTTTGCTGGCCGGAAGATCGCAAAAGGTGATCAGAGGACCCCAGGGGACTGCAACTATCGTAAATACATACCAGTTGCCAAGCGTCTGAATTTTGATCTCCTGACCCTGGGATGCTGCAACGGTCATGTGATAATAATAATAATAATAATAATAATAATAATAATAATAATAATAATAATAATAATAATAATAATAATAATAATAATAAAGTTGGAAGGGACCTTGGAGGACATCTGGTCCAACCCCCTGCTCAGGCAGGAACCCTACACCATTTCAGACAAATGGCTGTCCAGTCTCTTCTTAAAAACTTCCAGTGTTGGAGCATTCACCGCTTCTGGAGGCAGGTTGTTCCACTGGTTAATTGTTCTAACTGTCAGGAAGTTTCTCCTTAGTTCTAGGTTGCTTCTCTCCTTGATTAGTTTCCATCCGTTGCTT